TTTCCCGAAAACACCTTTCGAAATTCTAAATTTTAATCGATTTAATTCCAGGTTGACCTTCAAAGATCTTATACGGAAGGGTGGGAATGAAGGCGAGAAAGTGATTGAGGTGACACCTCTGAAGCGAGAACCTCAAACTCCTTACATAAGCTATCCGAACAAAAATCAAGTGAGGTTCACACCTGCGCAAATCGAGGCTATCAAGGTGAGTTGGAACTTCCGAATTCACTTTACTGAATCACTGCCGTTCTAGTTTTATGCTAGGGTTAGATATACGAGGGTAGTTGAAAGCAGGGCACGATGGCTGGGGCGGGCGGTTGTTGCAAACGTCATTGGTGGGAGACCTAAAGGCGGTGTGGCCAAACGCTCTCTCACAGCTCTTCCACCAACGACGCTGGCAACAAACACGCGACATCAGCGGTAATTCCCACTGCCTTTAACATACTCGTATCGTAGTGCGACTCGCAGAGAGTTTACCCTATGCTCTAATGATTGTTTCTTAGGCTGGTATGCAGCCTGGATTGACCATGGTTGTCGGACCGCCAGGTACGGGAAAAACTGACGTGGCAGTGCAAATCATTTCCAATATCTACCACAACTGGCCTCAACAACGGACCTTGATTGTTACCCATTCTAATCAAGCTCTGAATCAGCTTTTCGAGAAGATCATAGCTTTGGATGTCGATGAGAGGCATCTTCTTCGAATGGGTAAGTTCTTTTATTTATAATGATTGTTTTGGGCAGGTTATATATGCATAGATATTTAAGGTCATGGCGAAGAAGGTCTGGAAACTGAGAAAGATTTTTCACGTTATGGTCGTGTCAATCACGTGCTCAGGGAGCGATTGAGGCTACTCTCAGAGGTGATTGGCACTTGATTTGAAACTATAAATTTCTATAAAATGATAAATACTATAAATCTTTTTCTTAAGGTAGAACGTCTTCAACATGCGATGAAAGTTATCGGGGACGTGTCCTACACTTGTGAGAATGCTGGACATTTCTTCCGCTTCAATGTAAGTTTGTTACTATTCACTGTAATTACGTTCTTGTCTTCAAAGACAGTTCTCACGCTCATTTCGTAGGTGTCCATCCTTGTCAAAAGTCTGGTCTGCATTGTCTGGGATTGTTGCACTTCCGCGGCCTCATAGTAAGAAGCGAAGTCGCTACGGCCCTCACAAGCTGCATTTGGCGCGTCCCTAGTTGTACCGCTCACCGAGCCTCAATGGCTACTTCCTGTCATGAG